CGGGGTTATATTTAACCTACACATAATCAAACAACTAATAAAATGCTAAAATGGTGCACTGCGAGTTGTTGGTAAAATGAACTGTTGGTAAAATGATTATTGGTAAAGTAATATGTGCCCATACATTTTTAGTAATAAAATTTTTTATCTAATTTTTTTTTTAATATTTTTATCATCCTTGATGTTTTTAATATCAATTCTTCCTGGATATGTTCTTTAATCTCTTTTATTTGTAATCGAAATTTGTTCCATTGATTTTCATAATATCTTCATTCTTTTTTTTGCCTCTTCTTCCAAATAAATATGATCTTTTTTAATATATTGGGTGTAATTTATTATTATGTTTGAATGTCTTGCTACTTTACTAATTAATACTTCATTATATAAAATATTTAGAAATTTCGAATCCCTTATTGAAATCGATTTAATAACAATAACTTTATTTGTTATTTTATGAGTTGCCTTAAACACTTCACTGAATTCACTAATGATAATAATATATGATGGTTAGTGGTGATATATAAATAAATAAATGCGTATATATAATGAATTACATGTTTACCCTGAATTAATTTTTTCCATAGAATAATTAACATTTAGATCGCTTTCTTCAATTAGATCTTTGATTTTATTTATGTAATATTCTCTATTTTCAGATTCAATTTTTTCATCAATGATTAAATCTTTAATGTTTTCATCATCTTCGTATTCATGACTTTCGTCGTTTTCGAGCTCTTCATTTAAGGAATAATTTGTTATTTCAGTATCACATTGTTGATTATAATAACCTTCATATGGATTAAAATATTTGCTACTATAATTATTATAACTATTTTGTCGAATTTGTTCATATTGATTGTTAGAAAATTTCAATCTGCTTTCAATCTTTCTAGATTGTTTGTTGTTGTTGTTATTATTATTATAAATTAACTCTTCATTAATATCACTACTACTATTACTACTACTTGTTGACTCTTCATAGTATTTTACTGATACTTTATTTAATCCACTTAATGTTGTCAATAATTGTTGATTTTCTTCTTGCATTCTATTTAATAATAGTATTTTTTGTGGCGATTGTTGCTGTTGTTGCTGCTGGTGGTGGTGGTGGTGGTGGTGGTGGTGTATATGAAGCTGCTGCTGTTGTTGTTGTTTTAATTTGTTTGGCAATAATGAGGATGACA